TAAATTATGATATAATTGAGGATTTCTCAGATCTTATGATCTTCTTAATATTCATTATATTAAAATTCTTTTATATAATATTATTTAGAATATTAAAAGAAAATAGATAAGATATATATTATTATTATAGAAGATAATATATAATCTATAGAAGATATCTATAAGAATTATATAAGAGATATCTTATAAATTGCTATAAGATCTTGAATTTAATTTCTTAATAAAATTTATATAAAAAAAATTAGAAAAAATTCTATAGATTATTATCTTTTTTCTTTATTTCTGATATAGAAATCCTATGCTCAATAAACTAAGAGATCTTGGATTCTTCTTGCTTTCTTCTATATAAATCTTTATCTATATCATCTCTTTCCGATATTTTGGAAGAGAATCTCTAGAATATATGGAAGATATATAGATATTATGTCTTTTGAGATTCTCTATAAGGTATTCTATAGAATATTCTAGATGAGATTTTGGGAAATTTATTGAAAATATATAGGAGAAAAAAATATTCTATGAGATATTCTATAGAATAAAATTCTTAGAGATATATAGAGAAGATATTCTATAAGATATTTGAATTGGGATATTCCCTAATCTAAAATCTTCTTATGAATTAAAAGGATTCATATATCTTGATTATTAAGAAAATTTGATTAGATATCATATTTATTCTGCTTATTTTATATCCCAGCTTCTATATTAATAGATTCGTTCCTCGGGATGCTCGTAGAATTCTGAGAGAAGCTCCGCGCCGCTGAATCGGCTGGGCGGATTGGATTAAATATTTCCTTCCGATCCTATTCATTATCTATATATTGCGAATTGAAATAAGACGAGCTAGACCAAGTCTTTGCCCCCGATCCTATATGATAAATATATATTGAGAGATTTTATAAGGAGAATTAGGTCAAGCATTTACCTCGATGTAGATCGATATCTATATATTGGTGAGCTTATATAAGGCGATTTAGCCAAGTCTTTGCTTTTCGATATCTATATATTGCGAGCGTAAAGAATATTATCCACGATCTTAGTCGATATAGATATATTGCGAATTTCATCAAGATGGATTAGATCAAGTATTTTATCCTGATCTTGCTTAATATCTATATTTTGCGAGCTTCAATAAGACGAAATAGAATAAATCTGAATTCCGATCTTATTCGAAATTTATATATATTAGGAATTTAAATAAAATAGATTAGATCAATTATTTGCCTCGATATTGATAGATATCTCTATATTCTAAATTTAAATCGCCATGTAAATGCTATGAGCTTAAATAAGATGAATTAAATCATATATTTATCTTGATCTTATTCTATGTCTATGTGCTCCGAGCTTAAATAAGGCGAGTTAGCCCAAGCATATAAAAATATTATTAATTTATATATGTGGAAATTAAATCAAATATTTCCTCCCATCTTATTCGAGATTTATATATTCGAGCCCAAGTATTCTTACCGATCCTATTCGATATTTATATAGTGCGAATATAAATAAAACTTAATTAAAATATGTTAAATTAAATATTTTATCCCGATCTTATTTGATATTGATATTATAATCTTCAAAAGGCGGCTTAGGCCAAGACTTTATCTCGATCTGATTCGATACCTATCGATATCTATGTATTGCGAGCTTAAATAAAACGACTTAGACCAAGTATATATCTGGATCATGACTATGTGCGAGCTTAAATAAAACGATTTAAATTGATAATATATAAATATCAATTAGATCGGGATAAAAAATTGATTTAATTCGTCTAATTTAAATTCATAATATATAGATACCGATTACCATCGAAGTAAATACTAGATCTTAGTTAAATTCGCACCATATGGATGTTTAATAAGATCGACATAAATATTTAAATTAATTCATTTTATTTATATTCATAATATATAGATATCGAATCGGATCGAACTAAATATTTAATCTAAGCCGCCTTATTTAAGATCGCAATATAGAGAAAATAATCGGGATCGGGATAAATACTTAATCGATATTTCTAAGTATTACGGCCCTTTTCAAGGCTACTTAATCCAAGTGTTTAGTCTCATTAATACGCATATATTGTGTATTTAAATAAAGTAATTTAGAATCCTATTCAATATCTAAATATGACGAGCTTATAGAAGAGTAGTTAGAGCAAGCATTTATCCCAATCTTATTCCCTAAATTTTATCTGATATTCATATATTGAGAGCTTAAATAATGAGACTTAGCATAGGTATTTACCCCGATCCTAACCGATATCAAAAATATTTCGAGTTTTCATAATACGAGTTCGATCAAGCATTGTATTACGTGAATAATTAAAGCGGACTAGACCAAACGTTTACCACATCTATGAGTTGCGAATTTGAACAAGACCAAGCATTCGCCCCGATCCTATCGACATCTGTGCGCTATGAGCTTAAACAAGACGGGTTAGACCAAACTTTTTCCCCGATTGGTTAGTCCAAGCGTTTCCCCCGATCCTATTCGATATCCATGTGTTGCGAGCTTGAACAAGGCGGATTAGACGAACCATCAACACGTCTGCGTGCAGCGGAAAGCTGCCTCGCCTACAGGACAGAGGCAGCAATAGACAACCGTGGCAAGCTAAGTGCTGCCAAAGTGTTTTGCCTAGAAATGGCGGATCTGGAGTGGCGTGCAAAAGAAGGGCAACTTCGTCTGTTAGCTACCAAGAGTCGGCATGCTTCACCAAGTAAAGACTTTAAACAAAAACGGGGGGGGTCGAGAGTCAGAAGCCATGCATGTTGGCAGAGTGTTGCCGCTGACATCTTCAATGAACGCTTCGGCCCCCAGCCGGGAGGAAACTGATGAGTTGGCTTTAGCTTAACACCCCTCTCCCTTATAGTATAGTGGACCCCCAAACCCTATTCTAACTATTAAGGCCCCTACACCCTAAGCCCTTATAGCAGCCTTTATAGAACCCCAGCATACAGGCTGTGCATGCGCTGCAGTGCGGTCCCTTTTCTGAGCTTTTCCAGCAGAGCGGTTGGGAACTCAGCTCAGCGACTGCACAGTCGGCGGGACATGTATCAAGTACCGGAAACGTGCTGCTCACAGTTCTTGGGCATTTTCAAATTCTGGCACTTGCGCCCGTGCCCCGCCTTTCTAGAGAATGATCAAAGACTTTGCAGATCCACGGCTTTCTGGTGGTCTAACATGCACTTAAAGAAATTTGCTTCTGAAACTGAAAATGGGAGTTTCCGAATATAAGGGGTACCTTATTTTGGGGGTCCTTATAATAAGGATCCCACTATTCAGGGTGCTATATTGGGGTCCTCTATTTTCGGAAACCCCCAAATCAAATGATCTTGTCAGTCGATCCTCAAAGCCAGGCTGTCTCAAGACCAAGCTTCCACAGTGTAGCCTCGAGAGGTTCCGGAACGCCGGCTTCGGAGTCACTACACCCCCCCAAGTCAACAAGAATCAGTTCTTTCCCAGAGAACCCAATACTCCTTCATTAAGGAATATACCTTAACTTAGATCATAATATTAAGGCCCCTAGAATGTAA